CTTAAAATTAACTAAGAAGAGATACAATTAAAAATGAAAAACTAACAAAATAATTGTGAATCAACTAACCAATTAGTAAAAAAAGAATTTATAATAATCTCAAATAGATAGGAGAAAAAAAATTATAATAGTTTAAACAAATTATAAAAATAAAATTAGGAAAGAACATAGAGAAATTATAAACAATAAAAAAATAAAAAATTGACAGGAAATTGAAATTTTAATTAAGAAACAAAATATGAATGATAAAACAAAAGAAATGTTATAAACTAAAAGACAAAAAATTAGAAAAAATATGAAAATCTCAATGTTAAAGTTTATATGCAAAAATATACCAAAGAAAAACAAAATCTATAAACATATTTATTATGTAAACATAGTTATAGAATATTACAAAGATAATAGAAATCGTCTACCTTTACTTTTCAATGTAAAAAAATGAAACTATATAAAATGAAAATTTATACATGTTATAAAATAATAATATATTTACTGTAAGATTTGATGATTATAAATCTCTAGAAAAATAAACTGATAACATCGATGACATTTATCAATCCTAAATTTATATATAATGCTTGATAAAACTATTAATAAATATTTTTATAGGTTTTAATGTGATTATTCACATAAATGTATTTTTTATGATTTAACTTTATAAGATTTTATCATATAGTTAATTGTTGTAAGAATATTTTTTGTTATTAAAGATATGATTTTAATTCCATTTATGTATATATATTTTTGGGTCTGCATAATATAAATTAGGACATGAGAATTAAAATATAAATTAAATTTTAATAGTTTAAGATCTATATTTAAATATTTAAAATATTTTTGTAATTTAAAGAATTATTAGTGAAAATTTAAATTTTGATATTAATAATTTGAAATGTGTTTATTTGCGTAGTAACGCCGTGCTAATCTAGTATTATATAAGATTGATGTGTTCGACTCATTTATTTGTTGAATAAATTCCTCGCCAAAGTTGATAAAGTTAGGCTAATCCAATCACATAATTAATCATTTTTATATTCTCTGGTTATATTCACCTCTGAAAATCGGATCAGAATGATGGAATTGTAATCGAGAATCATTAGCAAAACAAAATCGAATAATGAATATATCTTAGGAAAGTGCGTTTTGACATAGCCCCACTTGTTTCCATAACAATCTTAAGCCTTTTTAATTAAACTCTTCTAAACGTTCAACTAATTTAGCAAGTGGTGTCACTAAAAAAACCTGATTATTCTGTCAAAATTCAAAGTAAGTATGTCCCCCTAATTAGTCAATTCATTTATATTATATTTTTGCTTTTTTGTTTGTTTGTCGACATATTATATTTTTGCTTAGACATAAACAATTTGGATTTGATTATATTATATTTTATCCGTCCATTCATATGAGATCAAGCATTCCCCCACCCACCCAAGGATTGTCTAATCATAGATATATAATAGTGTGTGTAGGATCCCACTTTTTTGTTTTTAATAAGATAGTAGTTGACCTATGACCTAATATTCATCGCAGATTTAGTGTAAATAGTAACCGCATAATCTGGATAAATGCGAAATTTGGTAGAATTATTTGATGATTTGTTGCGGAATCTGACGGAATAACTAATGATGCAAATAATAACTAGTTGAATCTGGTTGAATTTAAAATATAATTTAAATGATACAATAGTTAAAATATAATCTAGTTGAATAACTATAATAAATAATAAAAAAATATTAAAAAAAGTTATAAAATAATTTGGAATAAAAATGTTTTGATTTATCAAATGTATTAATTTATAAACACATATTTTTCAACATAAAAAAAAGTTATTACTTGAAAAAAAAATAACAAAAGCGCTTATGTCAAAAGTGCTTTTGTTATTTTACTCTACTTAAATGACAAAGCGCTTACGACATATTATCTATATATTAATTGAGGAGACACTTAATGAAAAAAATCTTATGTGTCACCCAACAAAGATTTTAAAGGACACATCAATTAAATTAACCAATCAAAATATTCTAATTAATTTTATATGTCATGTTGGAAATCTCTACATATATATATTAATTCTTTAACATAAAATCACAAATACATATTTTACTAATTTAAATCCAATTAAAATATAACATTTTAATATTTTAAACGTTATATAACATAATTTTTTAACGATGAATCATTTACTGATATCAACTGCTTTATAAAAATTGTATTTATGTTTATTTGGATACCAAATTGATTATACAACTATTTTATTTTACATCGTTTAATTGTATATATATTACTCTAATTAAAGTTACGTTTTTGTTATAATGTACAACTT